AATTAAACCAGAGATAAATCAGCAAAGTACAACTAACAACGTTCTATCCAAAATCAATTAACACGGGTCTCGTAAGTTGAACTGTAGAAGACCACAGTCCGTCAAAAATTTGTGTTGCGTGCCAACACACTGCCCATGAAGGGTCTCGAAGACACGGGCGGGTGCAATTTCGACTGTTTCACTTTATCACATAATCAGATCAAGTTACTGTAGCTGGCAAAAACGCTTTTGCGTATCAACACCCCGGGCGGTCGGCGAAAAGACAAAATCGTCTCTAATTTTTTCGGCTTCCGGAAGACAGAACGCTTAGAGGAACCGAACACGATAGTCCTAATTGTAATTCTACTGTTACTGCAACCGTCGTTGCAGTAACACTGTAAATGCCGGCACAACACCAGTACGCGCTTTGCCCCGTTTCTACATGTTGATGCATCGCTTCGGCAAACTAGGCGAGAGCTGCACAGCTTTTCAGAAACATGAATTTTGTTCGATCGGTCTCAGGCGGTTGAAAACTACAGTAACTGCACACTATACGCGTGCACATTGGGGATCTTAACCTTTGCGGCAGCCTAGCTAGTTTCTTCCGGTCGCTAATGCGTTCCAGAAGGTGCTAGTGACCGGTGACCGCTAATATCTCATTTTGCGCCAATGACCACTGCAGCTGGACTATCCGCGCCGCCTTTTTGGACAGTGGCACTTGCAGCCATACCCAGGAAAAATGCAAACGCGCACAATGCGGCAGTATAAACGGCTAGGCGTGCCAGGCATTCAAGAAATGCAATGTTAAACTCCAAAAATAAAGCTTCGTGCAGTCTCGTATGAGAGTATAATGAAAGTTATGGGAGAGAAATATCGTTAGCATCGTTTATTTTCTGTATTCCATCTGTAAATAGTGGTCAAAATACATGGCAACGGGATATGGTAGTTTTTAAATTTTTGCTGACCAGTGGTCAACTTGTTGACCACTGCTGTGCTCTTGTTTGGAAGTGCTTTTTTTGTACTGTTTAATGCAATTAGTGCTTTTATGTAATTCTCGTTCGTCTAGTTATCACAAAATTAAACGTTTTTATGCTGTAGACCGTCCATGGGCATTGGCAAACACCCTAGTCACCACGGCTGACCTATGGTCAGCACAAGCTGACAAAAAATTCCCATTCTTAATTGATTTTTTTCATCGGGAAATCCCGATTTTTAAATGGAAACTCCTATTCCTTCGGGTACCGCCCGCTTGAGGGTTAATATATGGAGATTACCCTCAGTTCATCACGAAAGACTACGGCGCCCGCCCGTGATGGCACTTTACAGTATAACTATGTGAAAACTACCGCGAAGGTCAAGTACTTGAAAAATGACTTGCGAACCGTCCCGCAGTCCCAGAATCTTCTCGGCCATGTTTTTTCAGTTTTATTTTCTTATTCAATTACTGAATGTTAATTACGGCGACGGAATAATCTGTGAACAGGTCAAGTTCGATCCTGCTGGAGGGGAATTGTCAAAAAGTGCGTTTTATAGCTGTTGATACCAGTGGCGCGTCTAGAACTTTTTTCACGGGTGGGCCAGCAAACCCTTTGTGAAATTTTCTTATAACTTTAAAGAATTTGTATCTATTTTTGCCTTTTTAACTGGATTTGGATTAAAAACTCCTGGTTAATAAAGGTGGTTTAAGTTCGAAATTCGTCTCATTGCAAACCGTAGACGAACTCAACGCGCTTTGGCGGGCGGGCTTAATGGTTCAAAGTTACATCAGTTGACATTTTTCGCGCGAAGCGAAGGAGCTATTTCGCTGCGAAAATCGCTAGAAATTCTACTAAAATAGTAGAAATAATTCAAATTTTTTTGTAGCGGAAGCTTAAGGAAAATGCCGGGTAAAAAGCGTCCAAAGTGGTATACATACACTAAAACTTTCGCTTGCGCGCACTCCGAATCACTTTTTTGTAATATTTTATGTCATTCTAAAGCTAAGTGATTTATTTACATATTGTTGTGAAAACCGTTTGCGCGCGCAACATCCACCACTGTCTCAACTTGAGTCACAGTGGTGGGGTGGTCGGCTTAGCATACATGGGGGTTTTTAGCTTTTCCCATAGACTCTGTATGACAAATGGCACATGGTCATGACAGTTTTTCCGAGATGGTGAACTCAACGAAGATTAAGTCTTACGCGATTATTGTATACAGATCTACAGTATTTCCTCTAATAATATGATTCAGATACGCTTTGATCATACTGTGCCCGCAAAAAGCGAGTGCACTTTCTATCACTGTGATTGTTATTTGTTATTGTTCATGTTGTTGTTGTTCTACATGTAGTACGTACATATTATAGTCTGTCTGATTTTTACTGTCCATGTCTTCGGAGTTTTATTAACGGCTTGTGAGGCGATGGCTCCCTTGCGTCCACCTTAGTGACGCTACTGGAGTTGGGGGAGTGCTTCGTTGCACTACGCACTGGGGATTCCCCATGGAATTACCGTCTGTGGCGTGGCTCTCTTCTGATTGGCTGACGGCTGCTGTTCACTGTGTTCACTATGCGCCGTGCAGTTTAGATGTGAGAATTCTGGTAGACGTTAGCTCGGTGAGCATTGAACGTCAGTGTGTTTTGATGATCGATCGAAGACGCTATTAAATTGTATAACGTAGACTGGATATCGTGCGTTGTGCATTTTATCCCTAGTGAGTCACGTTCTACATTACACGGAGTCCTGTCAGTCTGGGCTTCCGTCCTGGACTCTTTCACAGTCCACGGTTATATGGTAGCAGAGCCGTGAACAGACGGTTTCTGAGTAATCTGTTGGCGAACGGCCATTTTCATCTGTTTGGCGAACGGCCACCATCATCTGTTTGGCATATTGATCTGGATCATCCTGATCTCATTGATCTCATTTCACCAGTAAGGCACTGGTTTCCCTCATCTGAAGCAAGGCGCGCTCATCGATCGGATTGCCAGCATTAGCGGCTGCACTGACTAGAGAGTCTCCTGTAGGAGAACTGGTCGTGCACTTCCAATCAGACGGCAGAAGGCTGCGGTGCAAGATCTCTCCTGTCGGAGAACTTGTGCTGTTTCCTCTGCTAGGCAGCGAGTACCTCTTGTTGGGGTCAAGGCTGTCGGGCACAAGAGCCGAGAAGCCACGAGTTGGCAGCACCGAAGGAGGTGCCAAGAGTCAGTTTTTCGCGCTCCATCAAATTGGTTGTAGAGCGACCTGCTGGTAGGCTTGACAAGCCCAGCAGAAGGCTGATTAGGTCGGACAGGAAGGCGCCAAAACCGTGCGGAATACGGCTGCGCGGGATCGGACTGTGGAGAAGATCATCTGGATCATCTCCATCATCTGGATCATCTTCCTTGCGGGATCGGAACGGTAGACAGGTAAAAACCGTTATTAATTATTGGACTGGTTGAAGCGTAAAAAGCGCAATTCTTATTGGTCGGTACTGAGCTGAGCTAGACGTAGGCGTAGTTTTTGCACACGGCACGCAAGTCTGGCCATCGATCTGTGACGTCAGTACGGTCAGGAAATTTTAATGAGTACACGTGATTGGTCAGTTTAACGAACTCCGATTGGTCAAAATTTTTAACAGTAAAATCGATCTAAAAACGATCTCCTACCGATCTCCCAGCAGTAAAAACGATCTCTTTTCATCGGAAACGATCAAAATTTGGTTAAAGGAAGTCTAGTCTTAATTGAATTGAAGTGACGGAAAAGTGACCATCTCGGAGATCGATCATCTCGAGATCATCAGTGACCTTTGAGATCAGATCAGATCAGATAGTGACCTTTACAACCGAGCTGAGATCATCTATTTTAACCGAAAAACAAATTTTAAACGATCTTCCCAGCAGTTTTATCGATATTAATAGCTGAGCGAGATCATTTTTGAGGCAAACCTCTCGACCTTTTTGTCGAAAAAGTGACCTTTAAAATCGAACTTGATCGAAGTAGATCAGCTAAAAAGCAATCTCAGGGACCTAAAACGATCTCATAATACGTGTGTGTGAGCAAAACCAACAGGTGCGTCTCAGTTATCCGATCACCATGGATAAAGAAATCATCGAACCGACATCTAACAGCAGCCAAGGGAGCCGAGGCTCCCGAGGCTCAAAGCAAGGCGCACCCAACCCTTATGAGAAGGATTTTAACTCGTACACACGCCCAGTCGCACATGAACGGGCCACTCGAGCACCTAAAGCCTTTGAGAGGAAAGACTCTCGAGGCTCCGACATGACATATCAGAAGGCACTCGAAGCAGTGTCGGGTCATGAGAGCTCCAGCAATGATCTCAAACGATCTCCCGCGCCTGCGGCACAAGCAGGTCACCAAAAGGAATGAACTCGGAAAGAGCTGCGGAGATGGATCTGACATCGCAAAAGGATATATCCGACCAGGATAAGAAGGATAACCTGGTTAAAACTGATTTTACCGAGCAGCAAAAGATCACATCAGATGATCTCAACGAACTCAGGTTGGACGATCTCACACTGGGAGATGAAACAACAACCGAGGATATCTTCGAGAGTCCGATGGCATCTGATGAGATGATGTCCAATCGCGGGAATGAAGAATCATACTTCACTGAAGACGAGATGACATTGAATATGTCATTTAAAACCGCGATGAAGGAAGCGGATCGAGGTCAGGGATTGACACCTTTTGAGGAGATCCCCGAGTCTGATCGAAAGGAGTCAGACGGGAAAGATCGTCAATGTACGATCTCCATCTCCGAACAGCCCAACTTCCAGCCTGAAACGACGAGTCAGAGAACTTGAGACTTCATTGGAAGAAAAGGAAGCTCAAGTCATTAAGAAGAAACAAGAATATCAGAACAAAGTGGGATCGCTACAGACGCGTATATACGAACTGGAACAGCAACAGGCTGTCCTTGAGAATACGGCGGAAGAGTGGAAAGTTTATCAACGCCAAGTACAGATCGCGGAAGAGTCGGTGAAGATAGCCGATGATAGGGAGATAGAAGGCTACATAGCTGTAAACGAACTTAACGAGAGCATGTCCGAAGAGACAGCTGAAAGGTCACGGCACATAGCCGAATTGAAGGATCAGTGCGATGAACTGCGTAAAAAAGCAGATGAAGCTGAAGCGAAACGAGACAAATATGCAAACAAATTAGCGGAAGCGACCAAACGATTGACAGCGGTGAATAAGGATATATTCAAGCTCAGAGATGACCTGAAACTTAAAGACGAGGATATTCAAACTCTCCAAAGGGAATCGGAAGATCATCAGAAACGAGCTGATGATGCTCTCAAAGTGGCACAAGACCTGAGAGAGCTCCTAGCTACTGAAGGAGAACGACTTAAAGATGAGATCAGGCAGGTCACGGAGGAGAACGCGCAGCTCAAAGAAGCTGGTCAGAAAGCGGCCGAATGGGGCCAAAGATGGGAAGATGAAGCACGACGATTAGACACGAAGGAGACAAAAGTCGAAGTGGAAAGCAAAGAACATCAGAAAAAGATCCGTGAGCTGACAGACGAGAACATAAAGCTCAACACGGAGCTGGTCGATATGACGCAAACGGTGATGACTCACCAAGATGAAGTCACCCGATCGAGAACTCAACTGAAATCGGCAGCTGATGCGTATGCTCAACTGGAACAGCAAATGAATCAGCTAATTGACCAGATTAGAGCGAGAGAAACGGATGAAAAGGAGTTACATGTGAAGACGACTCAGCGGCAGAATTTCGCCCATATGCTCAAGCAGGAGCGAGATCAGCTGCAAACGGAAAATGAACAACTCAAACTTAGGATTAAACGTCTGGAAGATGAGAATAAGGGCCTGAAAGTAACAAATAAGCACCGGGAAGAGCTAATTCTGCAAGCAGGAAGTGCGAAGAGAGATGCTGCCGACACACCCCCGCCAGCTACAGTAAGGCACAAGAAGCAGGCGGGAGCTTCCATTTCGAGATGCCACAGCGAACGGGCGGTGGCACAGGGGGACTGAAAACAGAAGGAGATGAAGAAACCAAGGATAACAGGAAGCCATCAAGTAGTCACCAGCCACATATGAACTTCGGTGACCCTTCACAATTTCAACAGACTGACGAAACATCAGTCAAGGACGGCGTAAATCAGGATGCACGTTCTCCACGGCACGAACACGATGGAAGATTCTTCCAGGAATATCGTAACGAACGCAACCAACGAGAAGATCGGAACGAAAATCGAGGATAACGAGAATTTAACAGATCCATCAGAAACATGGGTCGCGAAACTGATCTTGCGACTTTCGACGGCAACCGCGATGCGTTAAGCGGATGGATCCGATTAGTGAGAGAAACACAGCGGACATACGACATGACTGATGATCAAATGCTGATCGACATCGCCAGTGCTGTCAGAGGACCAGCAAAGATCTGGTTTGACGGCGAAAGAGACATCGAAGAAGCCGAAGAGGAAGTTTACACAATCACCGAATGGCTAAACAAGTTCAGAGATGAATTCGGAGATCGAAACGAAGAAGTCCTCGGCTTACGTGAGGCCATGAATAGGAAATTCAGACCCGGAAAAGAGACACTCGAGCAGTTCTATCAGGCGATCATGAAATTTAAGGCTAAGAAGGCCATCACTGAATTGCAAGCAGTTGCATTCCTTATCGATGGATGCAGAGTCGATAACGATCTCTATAAGGCGCTGAAAACGAAGGGGTTCAGAACGCCAACGGAGATCAAGGACTTCTTCCGATCATGGGCAGCTGGCGAAGACAAGTACAAGGTGGTCGAAGGTCAACGTAATCAACCGGGTTACGTGACCATCCGCTCGGGACAGGTTGAGATGGCACAGAGGCAATATGCAGCCACACCGTCTCCAGTGGATTATCAGACGAGATCACCATCCCCAACGCGCAAGGAGATGACATTCATCGACAGCCAAACTGGGCAGCCGATCTCGTACGCCATGGTCGCCGCGATACAAGCGCAGGCGCAGGCAAGGCGAATGGCCCCGGCAAATGTGATGCCGAGTCCCCTGAAGGGAGGGGCGCCCCAAAATCAAAGAAGGTCCAATTATGGAAATGGAAACGGAAATAATAATTGGAATGGTGGCCAACGAAATGGCAACTTTAACCAAAATCAGGGGCAGGGCAACTATCAGCCCAATTACCGACAAGGAAACTACCAGCAGAACCGAGGCAACTATCAGCCGCAACAGGGTTCTCGAACCGAGTGGAAATTTGGCCAAATTGATGGATGGATCGCCCAGGGTGTGCAGCTGTGTCAAAATTGTGGATTCGGGAACCACGATGCACAGAACTGCATGTTCGCTGGCATGCCACCAAACCGGAACCCGAACTTGTTCGCCACCCGAGAATGGGAACGGCTGCGAGCCCAAGGCGGCTGGCGCCAAGCAGTAGCGAACGGTTATGACCTGGTTGCGCGATGGGCCGCGTTCAAACAGGGGAACAGTGGCGGCGCCGGTCAGGGCAATGGAAATGGTGGCGGCGGCGGATATAACGGCGGCGGAAGAGGTGGCTTCCGCGGAAGAGGACGCGGCAATGGACGCGGCGGATACGGCAACCGGAACGGCGGCGGCAACGGACGCGCCGATAATAACGGCAATGGCGGCGCGAACGGCGCTGACCAGAGGAACGAACAAGTCCAGCAACAGCAGGTGCTGGACCAGGGAAACGGCCAAGATCAGTAGGTGCCGGTGAGCCTACTGATCCTCCGCAACCGAAACCACCGGATGAAGGGGGAACGCAGAATCGGACTGCGAAAGAGATGGCTAATAAGATGCCATCATCAGTGGGCAAAGTACCACAGCCACAGAATCGGACTGTAGGCGATATAGCTTATAAGACGCCATCACATCAAGCAAAGGAGATGGTTCATAAGATGCCATCACAAGTGGACAAAAGGCCACTTCCGCAGAATGGTACTGCGAAGTCACCACAGAATGGTACTGTGAGTGAGATGGCTCAAAAGATGCCATCACAGGTGAAGAAAGGACCACCTGCGCAGAATGGAACTGCGAAACCACAGCAGAATGGTACTGCTGATGATCAGTTGACAAATAAAGGGAAATGTAGCGCCGAAAAGCTAAAAGAACGGCGCGCTCAACGTAACGAGATCATTCGAAAGGCGAACTTGAAGAAGAAATTGGAAGAAAAAAAGAAGAGTGATCAACATTCCAGATTCCGAGAATTCCTACTTAAACGGAATGCGGAGATGAGAACGAAGTTTGGGAATGGTCCGGAAGATGAAGATGATACGGTACTAAAACAAAGGTGGTTAGAACAGAACGCCACAGTGGGCAGCATAGATGAAAAACCACTTCCTATAAGGAAAGCACCAGTGAGAGATCAGGGAGCAAGTGCAGCCGCTAAAACTAACGACAAAAAGATCGTTGGACAAGGTCAGGAAAAGGAACTGACGCTGCGAAAAGTGCAGCTTGAAGAGAGCGAACGGGCACAACAGATCTCCGATGACTCATTGGATGATGCAGTTACGCTACAGCGGAAGCAAATCTGGAGAAACCTCGTCCCAGTGTTCAACGAGATGGAGTATTAGAAGACACTCGTTGACCAGAACCGAAATGCTCCTCCAACCGATAAACCGTCGAATTACGGAGAAAAAGTTCCGTTACAAAAGTTGCCAAGTGGCGGATTTGCCATCAAACCGACTGAAAGGTCACGGGACTTAACCGAAGCACTGCAAAAAGATCCCAATGACAAGTCACCAGTTCGAACAGATGGAATGTCTTCACAGATCGACCCGACGAAAACGAACAACGAGGTATCTGCGAAGGTGATCGACTGGATGACACAAAACGGATATGAGATGGTTACATATGAGAGATCACCAGATCAGCTGAAAGAAAGTGAAGCAGATGAGTTGAAACGAGCTGATCAGATCACAGACGAGGTCATTGAGCATCTGCGTGATAAATCAGATGATGTGACATTGCATCAGACCATCTCCGAGGTGATCAAAGATCACACGGAAGTTGCGAAGGGGCAACTAAACGAAGCTGAAAAGATCATCAATGACGAAAAAGCTGCAAAGAAAAAAGGGTGTGAGATGATAAAAAGCTCAAAAGATGGGAAAAAGAGACAATTTTACGATATCCGAACCGATGTCCCACATAGAATCGATCATCTGAGTTCGATATTGAAGCAGAATAGCATCTTAGCGAAGGAGCAGGTGCCATCTTCAGCAGTCGATATGGATCCAGGATCTGTATCGCTGATACCAGTTAAATGTACTATCCGCACGCTTAAAGTACAAAATGGATCGAAACATAACCTGCCGAAAAGGATCGAAGCGTATACACATGTGGTGAAAATTGGCGACATAAAGGTCTTGGCGATGTTGGATACCGGTGCGGAAACATCGCTGATCAGCCGACCGTTTTGCGAAAAGAACGGACTGCATGTTTACCGCTGCCACCAGATCGATTGGTGCGAGTTAACGGAATCAGCGGGACATCAGGCTTCAACGTGACGCATTACTGCGTAGCACCAGTGACATTGCGGAAACGGACCAGTCAACACTCCTTCTATGTACGACCGAAAACAGATGACGTACAAGATTTATTGGGACATGATTTTCTGGCGACAAAGTTCGTCCTGATCGATAGTCATGGGGAGGAGGAAGTTGAAGATGAGCCGAAATCAGCTATCAAAAGTACAAGCTGGAAAGGTCACCGGACTTGTAAAAGCAGCTAAAACGGATCAAAAGGCTATCCCAGCACCAGAGGCACTGGGAAAGCAGAGGATCAACCAACGAAGGGGAGGTTCACCTGCTCAGCTGTCGATAATTGAACAGATGGCAGCCATCCAAAAGGAGATCTCGACCCGACTGGGGAGATCATCAGTGAAACCGAAAGAACAGACAAACGTCGTTCTCCCAGTACCAGAGGCACCGGGAACGACGAAAGATGATCAAAAGGCAACTGATAAAGATGTTATCCCAGTACCAGAGGCACTGGGAACGAAAGATGGAACTCCGTTGACGAGGGAACAGATAGCAGCTGTACAAAAGGAAGCAGCTATCGAAGCGAAACGAGCTCTCGTACCTGGTATGGAGTTAGCAAAGTCTATCCCAGTACCAGAGGCACTGGGAATAAAAGTTGCCAAAGTTTGGAACGATAAGAAATTCGAAAAGAAATTAGAAGCTCCAAAAAAGATGACACAAGATGAACAGATACTCTTAAGCGATATACGAGATGGAGCGATTGAACAGCTGAGAGATCATCGAACCGAAAAACAACCGGAGATCATCGAAATCTCATCTGACAAGGATAAAGGGACACCGAATCACGGTTTCTGGAATACGGAAATTGACGACAGCGACAACCCGTTTGCTTGCCTCGATAAAATGACACTGGAAGAACGTATTAGCAGTTGTCATCACGGTTACAATGAGAATCCGTGTCGAGTGCAACCTCAATGGAAATGTGAGAAATGCTGTCGAGATGCTGAACAAGATGATCTGTCCATCTGGCTAAGATGTAACGCAGCGATCGATGACATAAAAAATCATGTTCAAAAAGAAGTTAAAAGCATATGCCGGACAAACTCGATGTGGAATCAGCACATAGAACGCTACCATTGGCAGCGATATAAGGAATGGCTATCCTGCGTTCGAAACTTCATCTTAACAAGGGAGATCATTGCTTCATTGGGATAACAGCGTCGACAGCTTGATTGCGAACTTAGGGAGATCGGACCCGAAAGTCAAGCATCTCCGATCGAAACTCGATCGAGAAATAAATGAAGTATTTGATGAAGGAATTATGTGGGAAAATGCTAGAACCGACCTATTCTGGGACTTTCGCGTGAATCACCTCTACAAGGGAGAAGGAACAACGATCATCTTCCCAACCGGACTCGGTAAACCAGTATATGAGCTGTTCGAAATGTTCTATAAGGCGTTGGAGAGAGGAAATGAAAAATCCTTTGACAAGTATTGGAAAAAGTTGGAAGCGGAATTCCCTCTACTGCCA